AAATTACAAAAGTAATTTTGGCGTTGGCCAAAATTGCAGACTTTTCTTTTCTCCAATGGAAAACACATTCCTTGATAAAGGTCCAAGATTAGAGGCAGGCTAAGCAATGCTTTTGTGGTAAGTTCAGGCTTTCCAGCAGTCACCAGAGGAAGAGGTAGCATTAAAGGTCAAACTGACATGGTTCAAGTATAAAACAAAGCCGTTTTTCTTTCTCAGCACACACACTTCCAATTTCACTTACATTTGTTGTCAAGACAGAGTGGATAAAATATGTAAAAGCCAAAAAAAAGATTATGTTTGGCTGTAGGAAACTTACAGAAAGACAGCCAAAGTGTACATATTCACCCCATATGTATAAGTGATTGGCTTACACTGTTCCCATTTTTGGCACATAAAGTAACTAATTTGCTAAATATAAAGTACTTTTAAATCTTTAATTCAGCAAAACTATATCAAATTAGTAATTCAATGCATGAGATCCAGGTAAAATTTGTGGAATACCATTTTAGGGTCCTGAACTAGGTTCACACCTGCATGATCTGCTCCAAAAACTTTACTTTACTTATAGTAAAAGGATTTAGACGTTTGGTGTGAGGGGCAAATTGAAACACTCACTAATATCTTGAGGAAACTGAGGTCTAAAGTTGTATTCAGTTTATTTAGCATATATAGCACCAAATCACAACACACGTCGTCTCAAGGCACTTTAATCTGGACATACACTTTACAAGTTTTTGCCCTTTTTGGGCCGACTCTCCAGTTGTGCGAGAATTTTTTCGATCGCCCGAGTTTCAGCCTAATCCTGCTTCCTGCGTTGCGTAGTATACAGGTGATAACAACGGCTATCAGCCACTCACGACCATCTCCTAATCAGGGATCTTAGGCCCAGTCCACACGAAGTTAAAACGAACACGAAACGCTAATATTTTCCAGAACGTTTGTCTTAAAGACGGAGACGTAAAATAAATGTGATCGACCACACGAATGCATGAAAACGCTGCAAAATGTATGCCAGCCCTGGAAGTGGCGCTGTGGTGCCAAAGCAAAAAATAGGCGAAAACAGGCAACGAAATGTTGGGCATGCGCACTAATATTTATACATGGTTGCCCTGCGGGTCCATTTTCGTGCTTCAGTCAAATTCAGGTGCTGAACTATGTCGTCGATATTGCTCTGTTCTTCCTGGAGATATTCCAGAAGAAGATTCTGTTGTAAGCCCGACAGCAGGGTGAGTAGCATGAGCAGCAACCATTCAACACAGTATGGCGCCATTGTTGTTGTGATACTGTGTCGCGCATGCGTGTTTAGAGGCGACGCTATGACGCATGCGTGTAAAAAAAAAAATGCGCTCAGACCTTAAAGATGGAAACGCGAAAACAGCGTTTCAAAATCTTCCCACTCTGAAGGCTTAATAAAAAAAAGATCGTTTACAGCCCCCTGAAACGCCGGCTTCGTATGGATGAGAGGCTGGTTTGGTGAAAAATTTGTGAATTTAGGCCAGGGTTTGACTTCGTGTGGATGGGGCCTTAAGGGTGGGAAAAAAATCAACCATGCTTCAAATTCAGTCGGCCGTCGTAAGTTGTTCACGAGCAAATCCTGCTGTTGAAGCAGAACTAAGAGCATCTATGAGCCGATTTACTAGAACCTCACGCACTGCACGTGTACAAACAAGGGAGTCATCTTTCTTCTTCTTCTTCTTCCAGATTGACGAGTTGAACCAGCGCCATATCTCGGTGCTTAGTCCGAAGTCTGGTTTTCAGACGTGCAATGTGGGCAGTTAGATCGCATAAGAGCGTCGGGCCGTACAGTGTAAAAGCATACATCATGAGCTGTGAGCTTATAAATAACCAACAGTTCCAAACCTGGGGTCGGTTTCTCAAAGCAGGTTTAATCATTTATTGGACATCTGGGATCATGGATCAGATCAGAAAATATATGTGCAGATCTTTGCTTTAATTATCAGTTTCATATCAAAATAGACTAACTTGTTATGGAGCAGCCAGTGCAAACCCAAGACCTTAATCCAAATGAACACTCTTTGGCCTGACCTCAAACATGCTGTTCTAAAGGCTGAAGCGAGAAATACAGAGAAACTACAGATCAATAAATCTTTAACAGAATAAACTTTGACCAAAGCAGGTTGCCTTATTGCAACAAACATGTAAACAGCTCTCAGAAAGACTGCTTACATTACTAATGTCTAGACACTGCAAAACAAAGTTCTTAAACCTTTGCAAAAAACAAAACGAAAACCCTGACACAAGCATTTTTTCAGTGGCATAAAATTCAATTTTCTTCATTTTCAATATTGATTTGATAAAGTTTGCTTTTGTGTTGCAAATAAAATGTGCAGAATTTCCAGTCCTTCAAGAAAATTAAAGTTGAATGGAATGTGTGCCATATTTGTCTACAAAAATGTGCACCCAACTTCTTATGCTTAAGTTTAAATAAAAGTTATTTTTATATGTATATCAAACTTTTTCAAACACAATTTTTATCGTTCAATGTTTGCTGTATTTTTGCACCAAATTCTATGAGGGTGTAACAGTGTTTTTCAGGGATTACATCTCCTAAGCTACCCTTATTTCAAAAATAGAGATCAACATTAAGGAAAAACATGATTTTTATGGAACAGTTTCTGAAGTTTCAAAGAAAATCACAATCAATTGTAACTCTGAATCAAAGCTAATTATGGCTTCTTTTGATAGTAAAAAAAAAAAAAAAAAGGTGACCGAAACTTCCCATCAATCCTAAAAGCAGGAAGCATTTGATATGCTAACGAGAAAGATTTTTCAATTGAGTGAATTATTGAAATCACAGACATCAGGCAACAGTCAGCAATCATGCTGTGAGGGAAGAGCTTCACCAAATGATTAACTCTCAAACATATGGACGCTGCTTTCCTGGAGAAATACAAAAAAGCTTTCGGTAAGCCAGCCATTAGCTAACCTGCCAAACTTCACTGGCCTTCGTTGCAACGGTTCTTTTGTTAGACGTGATTCAAATCAGATTACAGGTGCTGGTCATAAAATTAGAATATCATGAAAAAGTAGATTGATTTCAGTAATTCCATTTAAAAAGTGAAACTTGTATATTATATTCATACATTACATACAAACTCATATATTTCAGATGTTTATTTTGTTTAATTTTGATGATTACAAATGACAACAAATGAAAATCTCAAATTCATCATATCAGAAAATTAGAATATTGTGAAAAGGTTCAAAATTGATGGCCCCTGGTGCCACACTCTAATCAGCTAATTAACTCAAACCACCTGCAAAAGCCTTTAAATGGTCTTTCAGTCTAGTTCTATAGGCTACACAATCATGGGGAAGACTGCTGACTTGACAGTTGTCCAAAAGACGACCATCGACACCTTGCACAAGGAGGGCAAGACACAAAAGGTCATCGCTAAAGAGGCTGGCTGTTCACAGAGCTCAGTGTCCAAGCACATTAATAGAGAGGCGAAGGGAAGGAAAAGATGTGGTCGAAAAAAGTGTACAAGCAAGAGAGATAACCGCACCCTGGAGAGGATTGTGAAACAAAACCCCTTCAAAAATGTGGGGGAGATTCACAAAGAGTGGACTGCAGCTGGAGTGAGTGCTTCAAGAACCACCACACACAGACGTATGAAAGACATGGGTTTCTGCTGTCGCATTCCTTGTGTCAAGCCACTCTTGAACCACAGACAGCGTCAGAAGCGTCTTGCCTGGGCTAAAGAGAAACAGGACTGGACTGCTGGTGAGTGGTCCAAAGTTATGTTCTCTGATGAAAGTAAATTTTGCATTTCCTTTGGAAATCAAGGTCCCAGAGTCTGGAGGAAAAGAAGAGAGGCACTTCATCCACGTTGCTTGAAGTCCAGTGTAAAGTTTCCACAGTCAGTGATGGTTTGGGGTGCCATGTCATCTGCTGGTGTTGGTCCATTGTGTTTTCTGAGGTCCAGGGTCAACGCAGCCACATACCAGGAAGTTTTAGAGCACTTCATGCTTCCTGCAGCTGACCAACTTTTTGGAGATGCAGATTTCATTTTCCAACAGGACTTGGCACCTGCACACAGTGCCAAAGCTACCAGTACCTGGTTGAAGGACCATGGTATCCCTGTTCTTAATTGGCCAGCAAACTCTCCTGACCTTAACCCCATAGAAAATCTATGGGGTATTGTGAAGAAGAAGATGCAATACACCAGACCCAACAATTCAGAAGAGCTAAAAGCCACTATTAGAGCAACCTGGGCTATCATAACACCTGAGCAGTGCCACAGACTGATCGACTCCATGCCACGCCGCATTGCTGCAGTAATACAGGCCAAAGGAGGCCCAACTAAATACTGAGTGCTGTACATGCTCATACTTTTCATGTTCGTACTTTTCAGTTGGCCAACATTTCTATAAATCCTTTGTTTTTATTGGTCTTCAGTAATATTCTAATTTTCTGATATGATGAATTTGAGATTTTCATTTGTTGTCATTTGTAATCATCAAAATTAAACAAAATAAACATCTGAAATATATGAGTTTGTATGTAATGTATGAATATAATATACAAGTTTCACTTTTTAAATGGAATTACTGAAATCAATCTACTTTTTCATGATATTCTAATTTTATGACCAGCACCTGTATAGCTTTTCCTCTTTCTTTACTTTTGTTAAGTGCAACATTTCTACCTGTTTGGGTAAAATAAACCTTAGTTCTCCTTCAGCTGGAAAAAACTTCTTCCTGCAAGCTTGAAAAAAAAAAAATAATTTCCAAGTGCCTTCTATGAGATCTAAACCGCCTCCTGCAGAAAATACTTTACTTCTTTCATAGATAACAGGCAAAGGGACCAGGGAGAGTGAGCAGAGAGGGGAAAATTGATTGGAAAGCATGAACTGGCAGGCAGCGATGGCATGAAGCAGAGGCGACTGCTCAGGGAGTCAAGAGGACAGGGCAGAATAGAGTGCCGAAGGTGAGAAAGCAATTCTAACACAGAAACCGTAATTTTTGAACTGGCTCACCATCTTTGGAGGAATCGACTATGACGCCCTTGTGTTTCCAAATGATTGAGGGTGGCGGCGAGCTAACCACATCGCAGATGATTTCAGCGCTGTCACCCTCGTTGAACTCCTGTGGACTCGCTGCATTCACGAAGGTGATCTTTTCTGTTGAGAAAGGGAGAATTTTGTTTTCAATTTAAATTATAGCAGGAAAACCCAAAACATTACTTTAAAAACAAATTCTAATGCCAAGGTTCTTAGGCTAAAGTTATTCCAAGATGCACCTTATTTTATTTTTTTTTAATGAACTGTTTGATATGGAGTTAAAGGTTTAGAGGAGGATGTTCTTTGTCCGGGTCGATCATTGCCTAATTTGCATAATATATATGTTTTTTTCAACTTTTTTTTTACTTTTTCTTTTCCCCTTGTGGTCCACTAAGGAGCTTAAAAATCATGGTAAAACATTAACATTTTGAACAACAACAGTTAACAATCTAAATGGAACAAAAAAAGGCTACAAAGAATCAATGACAATGTGAGCAAATAATGGTAATTATTGTTAATCTTTTTTTCAAACTAATAAAAATGTTCTGAAAAAGAGTCGCTGCAGGTGTCTGAAAAGTCGCTAAATATAGCGACAAAGTCGCTGAGTTGGCAACACTGTCTCCTGGTCAGACCCTGTAATTCAGGCCAGTGGCTGGAAGTTGAACGGGATTTTGCTGGGAGCTGCAGGGAAGTGGGCTGCCATTCGGCTGGCTTTTGACTGGGAAGGGCCATTTTGATTGGCTGCTACTGTGATTGTAACATCTATCAAGAATTATATAAAACCCAACTAACCTGTGTTCCTGCTTTAAAGTCAAAACCTACCTGGACCTATTAATGAGTATCTTCCATCAGGCTAACTGGTTAGCAATACAAGCTGATAATGTTTCCAATGGGACAACATCTTTACCAAAAATGGGTTGACCATTTCTGCATTTTAAACCAGATGCAACAGATCTAAGAGTCACTTGTAGCGATCACAAATATTTGTCTTCCCTGGTAGTGATGTTAGTATGCTGTGAGAAATGGGGTGAAACATCTCGAGGCTTCGTTTGATGAAGAGGACCAATTATAATAAATGCGTCAAAAGTGTCAGTGAAATAATTTATTTCTTGGAAAAATGTATGTTTATTTCTCATAGTTAAGACAATGTATTTTATGTTGTTTGGTTCACGTTTTGGGAATGTGTAAAATGATTGCATTATTTTTTTGTGTTGAGCTATTTTTTGTTGAAAGTTTTCGCAAGATTTGTGTATATATGAAAAGCAACGCGACTTGAATAAACACAGAAGGAGCAGAAGCTTGGAACAGAGCTACTGTATGTGGCGCAGCCTTGTGTTTACTGTAGCTGTCAAGGTATTTGTAGTTATGTTTGTAATATTTGCAAGGTTATTGGTTATGGTGTTTTAATTACTTAATATTTTAATTTAGAGTAGACGAGGAAGAATTTAACTGTTAAAGACCTCCGAAGTGGCAGGTAAATGTTTTGATATCTAAAACTTTGTCTTCTATTTCTGTCGATTTCACAGCGTTAATAAAGAGCCCGTCTAAAGGAAGCTGTGCCAGTGTTTTCACTTTGGAGTTACAATAAATATAATGCGACTTAATTTCCACATGCCTGCCAATTAGCTCTTACAGCACTTTAAGTGTTCATTTGCCTTAACATTTAATATGATTAGCACATTTATATATTTTTCATAAATATAGCCTCTATGAGTGACTATTTCTCATATGGATTTCCCAGTAATACTGAAGTATGGCTTGAATAACCCTCTGTGACGTCTGTCTGCTTCTTGAAGAGTGCTTAAGGTGTGGATGGGTGGCTCAGAACAGTTCATACCTAATTGGAATATAGAAAAACACTGACGGAAATGCTTAAACAAAGTCTCTGGAAAAAAGCTGTTAAAATTAGATATGACTTACGGAAGATTTTAACTTGAACTGTAGCTTGGGCCTCCTTGTCTCCATTTTTTGCGATACATTTGTAAGTACCAGCGTTGTCCACAGTGGCATGGTAGATGGTGAGAACCGATGTGGCCTCGTCAGTAGAACTCACAGAGATGTTTGGCCGATTTGGGAGGATCTTATCACCAGTAGGGGAAAACCAGTCAATTTCTTTTGCATCCCCGACCACTGTAAAACAGAACAGACAGTATAGTTATGAAGAAGCGTCTTGTAAGGTGCATCCACCAGATATGAATTAGTAATGTAAGGTAAAACAAACACAAAGGGAAAGGAGTGAGGAAAAGTGCTTTTGGCAGATCAATTAAGCTTTATCCTGATATAAATCAGCACTAATATTGAACAACTAAAACAGAATGAAAAACTGTTGATGCTGCTAGGATACCATGTGAGACAGTGATCAATGAAAAGAAGCAAGAAATAAGAAATACCTTGAATATTTCTCCAAAGAAGTCTTTAAATTTAGGGAAACATTTATTTTCAAGATGTGAGGAATATGGATAGTAGGATAAAAGAGAGTGATATGAATAATATATATGTATTGTCAAGGAGGCCTTTTTTTTTACTGACAGAATAAGAAAAATCAAAAAACTTTTCCTTCTTATTTATTTTTCACGAAGCAGAATATAAACAGAGTTTTAGTTTGTAAAAGAAATAGTAATGCTGTCTCCTTTCATAAAGAAAACAGAAAGCTCTAATAGTTATAGTAAAGCCATTCATTATTGCAGAACAAAACTGTCATTTTAAAATGTCCACAAGGACTTTGTTTCTATGACTTAATTAAAAATTTTGTTATGCAGAAATATATATATATATATATATATATATATATATATATATATATATATATAAGTGCTGTCAATCGATTACATTTTTTTAATCGCGATTAATCGCATCAATGCCTAAGTTAACTCGCGATTAATCGCATTTTAATCACACATTTTTTTTCCTGATTGAAAATCATTTAAATACTCTCGATGACATACAAAAAATACATACAGGCTAGGTTTGTGCCAATGTTCTTTTTTTAAAATGAAAACAGGTCACAGATACTGATTTATGCCATAGAAACATATGGCAAGAAGATGGGGAGGCATGTAGCAAAAAATAACAAATATGTAGCCAAAAAAAAAGGCCCTGACAACAGGCTGATGTAAAAGACAGTCTTTACAGTTAATACAGTCTTTTGAACAAAGACAAGCATTTTACCCTACTGCTATAAAATGTAGTACAGTTAACATTAGATGTTAATTAACCAAGATAATAATGAACAATTTTCAATCAATACATCAAAATCAATAGACCGACATCACTAGTTGGAGGTAGTCTATGCTCTAGAAAGTTACTTTTCAGCCTCTTAACAAAAATGAGAACACACACACAAGCACCCACCCACACACAGACACACCCACCCACCCACCCACACACACACACACACACACACACACTCACACGATACTGACCTGTGGCGTACACAGACAGCAAGAGTGCCGTAGCAGATTCCATTTCACCTCAGTAATCTGTTTTCTCAGCGTATTTCAGGTTGCTACTAGTTACCAGACACTCAACTTGTTTGTTGGTGGTGGGGCTTAAAGAAAAGGCACTAGCGTCACCCAGTGTATGAGCGTCTTTATTCCTTGAGGAGCTCCGCTCTCGAAGCCTATGGAAAATGCATAGACTGGGGGAAAATAGCCCCGCCTTCCCGCAGGCTGCAGCGGGATGTACTTGGAAAATTGTACCATAAAACCACATAGCGTTAATCTCACGTTAAAAAAATTATCGCCGTTAAAATGGCCTCGCGTTAACGCGATAATAACGCCATAATTTTGACAGCACTAATATATATATATATATATATATATATATATATATATATAAGTTATATCAGCCTATGTCAGTATTGAATCTAGCTGCTCAACTGACACTTTGTTGACCTCCAATAACCTAAACTTTGATTTTGGTTATAATATTAGTTTTTACAGCAACATATAATTTAATTGTTTAAAGCATGGGAAAAAGTAGCAGCTTATAGTCCAGTAATTGTATGTAGGCCAATACACACTTACAGGTCAGAAAAGTAGCCATTTTTGAACCCCTGTTTCTTTAAGAGTCCGGGGATTGTTGGTTGTAATGAGATCAGTTGCTCTCTTAGGCATTGTTCACTTTATTTATTAATCCCCAGGCAATGAGCAATTAAGACAGTATATATGGGCTTATTTGGAGAGTCAACTTACTGTAGTATTTAACAAATCATAGAAGCCATTGTTTTTAGTAGAACAAAAAATACGGCTCATTTTTCTCAGAGCCCCAGATGAAGAACTTAAACTTCTGCATTGTATGATGTTTGTGTGCAACAGCTACAGTATTTGTAAACTATACCTGTGATTAGTGTTTGATTCTTTTTCTATAAGAATACAATCATATTTTTAAAGTCAAATGTCTTACAAATACTTAAAAATATATAGACATTTGCAATATTTACCTTTAGATAGAGATAGGGCAAATGCATAGCCAGTTAAATTGCAAATATTTTATACTTTTTTATCATGTAGAGTTGTGTGAACTAAGAGAAATAACATTGTGAATCAGCTCAAACTAATAATGAGAACCGACTCTTTTAGTGTTCAGGAAGCCAATCTTTAAAGATAACCTTTGTTTTTTGATAAAAGTTAATCTATGGGATCTCTAATAGGTAAATGTGTGCTAGTTAACTTTTATGATTTGTTTAGCAGAAATTAAGACAACTGAATTCACCCCTTCCCTGCAAAGCTACCCTAAAGAAAATTAATGATCTTTCAGATGTTTCTTTCTCCTAACCCAGTTTTTAAGACAAGGACAGAATCCATAAAATCTATAAAACTTCCCTAGTCTTGATTAATATACAAACAGCTAAGACTTGTTTACAGACTAGAGGATTATTCAACTAAAGCCAAGAGATCTAACTCTCATAAAAAAAATTGACAAGGGGGGCAGTTTTAGTTGGAAACAGACATGCCAGTAGGTGGCAGTAATGTGGGAAATTCATACAAATAATTTCTTTGCAACTATCTACTAAATTAAAATTGTGTTGATGGTTAATTTATAGATTTTAACCATATATAGCACTGCTGTGGATTCATGTTAATAATTGTGTTTAAATATAAAGTATTATGCCAGCTCACAGCTGATATTGTGGCCCAGCTGCTGTTGTTACTCCATATCTGAATGTATTTAGAGCTGCCTCAAAATATTCAGACATGTTTGCTTGACTGCGACTGAAGCCAAGCCTGGCTGGGTTGGTTCCTTTTTCCTCCCTCCTGCAGACTCCAGTCACCTCCTTTCAGACCCAAAGATTTTTGTGCACTCAACCTCCTGAATGACACATATTTCCATATAATGACATAAATATGAGCAGCTAAATAATTTCCCCTTTGATTAAAATAGTTTAAAAATGGCTCCAATTGGGAATATTTATGGATTAATTGGCAGTTCTTACCTTCGCAGAGGAAAAACTTGGACTCTCCAACACTGATTTCCCCTTGCGATGGAGTGATTTGCACCTGAATGGCAGCTGAGTAAGGAAAAGAAAGGAAAGAAGAAGAAAATATACATTAGTTTTTTCCTTTATGCTTTCATCTCGAGAAGCGGTGACACGGGGCCACAGCACAATAAAGCAGTGCTCAAAGTTCTGTCGCCTCGCCTGCTCAAAGAACCCACAATGTTCAGCCAAAACGCCTCTGTAGACGAAACTCAGGGATGAAATTTTTATGCTCACTGGAGTGCAACATCTCAGTCTGCATGGTTTGTGGGTTTTGACTCAAAGCTAAGACACGTGTTACAAGGCAATAACATTTTCATTCGCACATGTAAAATTCATTTTTAATCTGTTTACACTTGTTCTAGAAATTGACTTGATTCAAGGTTTATCATAGATTTAAGGTTTAACATATAACAGCAAAGTCTGAGATGGCAGCAATCCTTGAGATTTTCTTCTGAAAGGTTTCATCTTTTGTTATGAACACATTAAAAATGTACCTTTGACCTTTTAACAACGTGTCTGACATTTTAGAGAATTGAACTTCACCGAGACTAGCTCTGCTTCAGCAAAATATCACTTGAAAATACAAAAGAACAAGATGGAGAGAAAAAAAAATGCATCTTAGGAAAGTATTACATAATCTATTATTTTCATTTTTCTTTTTATATACAGGTACATGCATAGACATTTTTTGAGGCAGGTGCATGGGCCAAAAAGGGGGCAACCATAGCAAAATCTACTTTTATAGTGAAATAAATACACATTAAAATTCATTAGTGCTTTTGTAGCATCTCGTTTCTTAAAATTTTTTTACTGGATCTATATTAAGTTTAGTACCGTATATTGTCATAGTACTTCACTGTTTCAACCATTTTTTTAATAACATCATTAATAATAATATGCCTCACCAGACTGTCATGTACCTCAACTTAGGTAGTCATATCAAGTTTGTAATTTAAAGTGACAGTCAGGTCCTGACTAAAAATTTTTTTAATAATTTATATTTTTTATATACGGAAGAGGATTAGGGCCACTGAAAAAAAAAAAAGTTAACTAATTTTTAAATTTTATTTCAGTTCAGTATGGGAAAAAAGTCAAAATTCTGACTTTCATCTCAGAATTCTGACTTTAATCTCAGAATTGTTACTGAATTTCTGACAAAAGTGAGAATTCTGAGATTAAAGTCAGAATTCTGACTTTAAAGTCAGAATTCTGAGAAAAAAGTCAGAATTCTGACTTTAATCTCAGAATTGTTACTGAATTCTGACAAAAGTCAGAATTCTGACTGTCACTCTGACAAAAGTCAGAATTCTGAGATTAAAGTCAGAATTCTGAGTTTTTTCCCATACTAAAGTGAAATAAAATTTAAAAATCAGTTAACTTTTTTTTTTTTCCACAGTGGCCCTAATCCTCTTCCATATTTATATGCTGCTCTTTATGAAATAGTACTGTTACAAGCCTTCTACAGATTTCATATAAATGATTACGATGCATGATTCCAAAACTGTTTAAATAGAAACGCTTCCTCTAAATTATATAAATATAAAGTAATACATTTAGGTAAGGAAGACATTTTCAATTTATTTATTTTTTCATTTTATTAATTTATTTAAGTAAAGGAATTTAGATTTTGCGTTGTTACACTTCAAAAACTCCCTTAAATATCACACCACTACTACATCCACATATTTAATCTATTTAACCAGGGAAAGTCCTGTCAAAATGAAAAACATACTTGTCGTAATACTATGATAAAAAACTCTGTTTTGCTTTTTGCTCCTTTTTAACTGATGGAAAAGAAAGCAATGTCAGTTAAGTGAGCAGCAGCGCTGCAAGAGCTTCTGCTGTTAAGGAGGTAGTGGACAAAGGAAGGAGTCAGAATAGGTAGCAACAATTTCAAAGCACAACACTTATCTTGTTGTTGAGATCTGCATCAGCAAGAACATATTTGGAGGAGCTTTTGTAGCAACAGGCCCAGGGAAAGGTTCAAGAGGAAGGAAGTAATTTTAATAAACGTAGGAAATTGGAAAACATAGCTATCTTTGAATTATTAGAAAATGCAACATAAAAGAAGCAAAATACATGGGAGTTGTACATGTAGAGTAGCAGCCATTCAAAATTGCCCTTCCCAAACGCCAGCCGAATGGTAGCCGACTTCCCTTTAACTAGCAAAATTTAAGCAAAATTCCCTCCAACTTCCAGCCACTGCATATTTTTTTACTCTCAACCTTTTAACTGAATTACAGGGTCTGACCAGATTCTCTTCTCTTTCAACATATTCTCATTATCAGTTTGTATGAAATCGTACGAAAAGTTATGCACAGTATTTTGTACGTTTTGGACGTTTTTCCTCGAAAAAACAGATCAGTGCGCATGCGCAGCCAGACAGACGAAAAAAGCAGATCCGCAGATGGACGTAAAACTGGGAAAAACAGTGCAATTATTACTTCTTGATGTCTCTCACTAGGTTGCTTGCTGTTTTGTATCTTAGGGTTAGGGTTAATTGTATGTTAAATTCTATGTTATTGAATGGTGCGTAAGATGAGCCTGCGCAAGTATATCTTGTCTCGAGGCAAGACGTAAAAAAACGACGAAAAAAACATCAAAAACGTACGAAATTACTGTGCATAACTTTTTGTACGATTTCATACGAACTGATAATGAGAATACACTGTCTCTTTAGATCTTAAAGGAATAGTACACTCAAAACATGATTAGCCTTCATTTTCTACTCACCCCTATGCTGAACAACACTCTGGAGTACTTTTTTGATATCTCAAATGCATCTGGAGATCTGGGAGGCTTCTTGCTGTCTGCTGACATTCAAATAATGGAGGTCTATGGTGACCGAGACAGAAAGGTCCATAAAAGTCCACAAAAAACGTGTCAATATTCCTCCATACTGCTCGTCCAATGTATTCCAAGTGTCCTGAGTGGGTAGCGTCCATAATTTACTCGAAACGAAGTCATTTAGAATGTTTTTAGAGCATAAACAGTAGTGTATAGGATTTCCTGAAAGCGCGTTCACGACGCTACGGAAACCGCGGCAGACCAAACCAGACGAAAGTGCGCATTCAGCTCGGCAAAGAACTCATGCTCTTCCTCAACACTGAAGTCCTCAGACATTTTTCTTTCGTTGTTTCTTTCTTTGCACAGGTAAACAGCACATTTCTTCTTCTACGGTTGCATTATCGGCAGAGCAGACGCTGAATGCGCACTTTCGTCTGGTTTGGTCTGCCGGCTTCCGTAGCGTCATGAACGCGCAGGTGCGCCCTTTCAGGAAATCCTATACACTACTGTTTATGCTCTAAAAACATTCTAAATGACTTCGTTTCGAGTAAATTCTGGACGCTACCCACTCAGGACACTTGGAATATATTGGACGAGCAGTATGGAGGAACATTGACACGTTTTTTGTGGACTTTTATGGACCTTTCTGCCTCGGGCGCCATAGACCTCCATTATTTGAATGTCAGCAGACAGCAAGAAGCCTCCCAGATCTCCAGATGCATTTGAGATATCAAAAAAGTACTCCAGGGTGTTGTTCAGCATGGGGGTGAGTAGAAAATGAAGGTTAATCATGTTTAGGGTGTACTATTCCTTTAATGTCCACAAAACATGACAGAAAGAATATTTTAATACAAATATTGATGTTTTAAAAGGAATTGTAGGGGACCAGCCAATGGCCCATCAAGGAAAATGGGGAAATATTGAATGCCTACTACTGTAATAACGCAAGATGTTAATTTAGTTGAAATTGTATATATTGCACATTAAATAAAGACACCAAGTGTAACCAGTGCTAAGATGGTGGCTAAATGATATTTCATGTGAGGCCTGTGGTTTAAGAGTCTCATAGTGTAAGAGATAAAGCTATGCGGGACCTTTGTTCTTAAGCTCCACAAACTGTTGTTTCCTTCCTAACCTCAGAGGTGAGGAGGGTTAAAGATTTATGGTGATGATGTTTATGATATTCATGGTTCTGGTCAGAATTTTTGTCTGGAATCAGATGAAGCTGTGTCCTGATTTGATTTTATGCTATTCTTTTAGAATAACTTGTTCTTTACAAATGATCTGTATACAAGCAGTCATAAACAAGTCCAGGCACATAACATAAACTTATTTATTTGCTTAGTCTTTAAAACGAAGCCTTTCCAAACACTACTTGCTTTTCCTATTCTGCTCCTCTTGGCAGGTTTAAGGAAACACATAATCTTTTTAATCCAAGAATATCCTTTTTCCATGAGCCTCATATGCTTTTAAGCATTAACCAAAGCGAAGCAATGACACAGGGAAGATTTTGGAAGTGCACCTGGTGTTTGTTCTTGCCCGTATTCCAGGAAATCAAAATCCCAAATTAAGCAAACTGAGTAAAAGGTGTTGAAAAGGGAAATCATTTCTGCTTGTTCCTCAACATTTTTGAAAATTGAATCACTGCTGACTGCAACACGGTTTCCTCTAAGACCTTTTTCTTCTCTACCATTAACGTAGAAGTAAAAGAACGGGATGCAAAATGCCAGTTATTGGAGATCCGAAGCTTAACAGAGAAATCCTGCTGAGCCTCCAACACGTCACCACTTCACACAAATGAGTTAGTCAGCCTCAGCTGGATTCTAACAGGGAGCTTCAGGAGAACGACTGGCGGGGACATGCTATTCAAAGACAGGTAGCCAGCTATCATCCCATCAAAAGATGCCATTGATGTTTTGAAAAAGCAACAGCTATGGAAAAAACATCTGGAATGAAGAAGAGGCTCTCACAGCTGTGCAGTTGCATGATTTCTAAAAGGCATCATGATCACAGAAAGAAGTCCCATTTGAGCCAAAATGCTATGATTAGGGGCTGGGTGTGGGATTTAGATGTAAAAAGCTTACATGTAATGTCTATATGCATTTGGTAAAGCAGCAGCCATTCAAAATGGCCCTTCCCAGTCTAACGCCAGCCCAATGGTGGCCCACTTCCCTCCAACTTCCAGCCATTGGAGTGACCCCCTCTTTCTCCTGGGTGTGCATATTTTTTTACTCTGACTCCAC